TATAGACTGTATTTGGATCGAAGGACATCTTGGAGAAGTCTGAGCAAAGACAGCCATACACAAAACACATTTCTTAATAATTTATCTTTGGATCAGGATTAAGAAATAAACATTCATGCATCCATTCGCTTTCCCTCCCTCTCAACAATTAAATATCTGGGGAAATATATGTGTCAAAGTATTCAATCTATTTCTGAGAACAGTGATAGGCTGCGAATAGACTGAACAAGAAACTCACATCTTAAGAAGTCTGTCCTGGTTTTTGGCTCCTGAAAATCAACTCTGGAAGGAACTGTTTGGATATGAAAACATACACACATAAACTGATCAATTTTATTTTATTGTTTATTTTTAAATGAATCAAAAGTGAAATACACAATTATACAAAATAAAAATAAAAAGACACTTCAAATAAACGGGGGAATTGAACCAGTGACCCTCTGATTCCTAGAAAACCCACTTTACCAACTGAGCCACAGCGACCCCCAAAATCAGTTGACAGACACTTACCTTTAAGCCGTTTGTCTCCATTTCTTGGCAAAAGTATGTACACAGGGGTTTCACTAACTGTTGAAGATGATACCGCAGGTTAGTGTGTTACTGGCCCACTTTACGGTATTCACAGTATAAAGATATTTTGTAAAAGTTATTTACTTGACACAAACCTGTCTTGGAGATTTTGCTCAATTCCTTCTTGCAGATTTCGTCTAGATTTTCCTTCATCTCTGTGGCTGTCTTGCTCATCTCTCCAAAGGAGAACTGAGGGTTGATGAGCACTTTGGGTACCATGGCCTCAGGAGGGACACACAGGGTTGGAAAATTCTGTTCAACAAGAGACAGGAGCTCTATAATCCGGTCAACAAGTCAGAAACACAGGCTGAAAAGTAGCCTCACCTGACCAAAAGAACATAAACAATATTTACAGGTGGTATTGCCTTGATTTACTCAACACTACAGTTATTATTATCTGCTATTTAAATTATGGAGTGGGTAAAACATTTTACATGTGACAGGAACATGTGAATACATTATCACCTAAAACATCCTAAAATACCTTAACATTCCAACAGGGCTACATAACATAAGAAGTATTATGATTGCTCTGTATGAACCTGCAGAAAGTGAATGTTGTCCTCTGTTTCAAGGATCTGCCGTAGCTCTGCATCTCTGCGCTGCAGCTCCTGTATCTCCTGCTCCAGACGGTCCACGTACCCCTCAGCCTGTGACATCGCTGACTGCATGTTGGCCATTATCATCTGATTTATTTCAGCTTTCCAGCGCTCCACAGCCTGCAGCATTTCATGGAATGTCTTATCGCTTTCTGTCTGTGCTCGCTGGGCACAACTCTGAAAGGTGAAATCAGTTTGTCAGAGGTTTTAGAAAAGGTGGGGGTATGTTAGTCTATTTGACACCACCACCAGATGGTGTCATTTTCCTCTCTAATTCTGTTCATACTTGGCATTAACATAGACAAGATGGTTGCAAAATACCTCTGGTCATATTTTATCTTCTCCGAAATACACGATAACACATTGCATCTTAAAATGTATGGACACAATTATTTATGTTTGCTTCAGCGATGTCTGATCTTACTTTGAGGACATCCACATTATGTTTGAGCTCCTGTAGCTCCTTCATCCTCTCCTGAATGATGTGCTGCACTTCAGACTGGGTGACCACAAGGACTTTCTGTTGGAAGAACATGACAGTAACAGTCTGGCATTTTGGATGTAGCTCTGGTAATCGAGTTCTTCTCTCCACCAAAACTCAACATTCATGAATTCAGATACTGTTTTGAAACATTTAAGGGGTTTTTAAATGGCCTCCAAGCAAACAATTCAGACTGACTTGTTTTTCGATGCGCTCCTCTTCTGCTGAGGTAATGTTGTGACTGCGGTGCTCTCTGACAGTACACAGCACACAGATACACATCTGGTCAGAGCGACAAAACAGTTCCAGGCCTTTCTCATGCTGAGGACAGATCTTCCTGTCCAGGTGGCCAGTCTCATCCACAAGCTTGTGCCTCTTGAAGGTGGATGACTCATAATGCGGTTTGACGTGTGTTTCGCAGTAGTAGGCCAGGCACATGAGGCACGACTTGACAGCCTTGTTGCGACGGCCAACACAGAAGTCACAGAAGGACTCCCGGTGCATGTAGGGGAAAGGTGTGAGCTCCGGACGCTGCCGCCGTGGCTCGTTGTTTACGTCAGGTAGATTGCGTCTCAGCACAGGCCTTGGGGTGAAGGTTGCACGGCACTGTGGGCAGCTGTACACACCCATGTGGTCAAACTGGTCCCAGTAGATCTTGATGCACTCCAGGCAGTAGGTGTCACCACAGGGGATGGTGACTGGATCTCTCAGTGTGTCCGCACACAGTGGACAGTAATCCTCTGGTGGTAAAGGGAAGCTAGACTCAGCCATGATGATGTTGGATGAGACAAAAATGGAATGGACTCTGGATCAGAATAGTCAGTTTGTGTTAATAAGTGAGTCTAGTCTAGTCAAGTACTGTCAGTCAGAATGAGGTCCAGAGAGAGTCCAACCACAGGCTCCTGTGATCCTACAACTCCTTTTCAAACCAAAAACAATGCTATTCTCTGGTGATATTTAAAGGAAAGACTTTGTTTCTACTGTAAGCACTCAGGTGATGTCTTCCCACAGCATCTGAGTGAAAGTACTTAGGTCTGCAACCCTGACGGAATCTGCTTAACAAGCAGGAATTTCTGGTGAACTCAGCCAGTAAGGTCAAGTTGTCAGCAAAACAAAAACTAATCTAGACTAGAACATGAACGAATAAATGCCATTTAAAGAAGAGTCAACACATCATCGGAATTTATCCCTTGATACAGCTGTCTGTGTTGACATTAATGTTTTTTAAATTTACAAAACAAGGTTTCCTCGTAACATCAAATGTCAGCACAGTGTTAAGCAATTGCACAATACACAAAGACACAGATACCAATCAGTAGTTTGTACAGGGAAGAGCTCCACTATCTACTGTTGTTTTACATTAATTTCCCCCTAAAACCAACATTCATCATGGGTGAGGAATTTGCTATTCTGGTTTGCATTTCCAAGTGGGAAAGATTTAGTCCTTCACACCCTTTAGCTTTTCATTTGACTGAGCACTGAGTTTCATGATGGTGCGTGATGTCAAAACAACGTGTGTTTATCCTGTGAACAAAACACTGCGTCAGTATGTGGGTACCCAGAGGAGCACACTGAAAGAATGAAAAACAATGCAAGGTAAAAACACTGCAGTACAAGAGGACATTGCTGACAAAATTATATAAATGAGCACTCACAGGTGTGGAAAATACATCTCGGTCACATGACTAGTTATCAGTCTTTTTCTTTTCTTCTTTTTGCAAAGTGTTTTACTGTTTTTACAACATAATAATATTACCCATAATTCATTATGCAAAAAAAAAATGGCCTGATTAATATTACAGAGTCACAAGCTAAATACCTAGGACAGATATAGGACCTGTAGGTACCTATATAGCTTTATTTAAACTGGGCCAATGCCAGCTGCTGGCATAGGCAATATATTAAATCCAAGGGGCGCCAGGGAAAAAAGGAGGTTGAGTCAGGTTAGGGTTAGATCTTCCCTACAATTCGTATATAATAATTTGGATGTTGTTTATTAGTAATTAGAGTACTGACTGTTTTTGCCTACTGAGTTTCCCCCAATTGATGTGATTGCCTGTTATTCAAGTCTGCCCCAGTTATTTTCATTTCCTTTTATTCTGAATAATTCAACAAAATATCTTTTCATTCAAAGGCTGTCAAATAACGGCTGTCATAACCCTCAGAAATAATGACATTACAGGTGATAGTACCATTAGACCCCATCCTTATTTGATCTGTTGGATTACAATCAAATATATGAGGCAAGACAGTTTATCAGCCACTAGAGGGCACACTTATTCCTGTAACCCAAGGACTTTTGATCAGATAAACTCTCTTGTGGTTTTGTTCTCCTCAGGTGAAAGAGGTCACAGTAAGCTTTGTCATGTTGCTGCTAAACTGCTTACACTTGTGTCCAAAGATCATTCACCTTTATTGACTATATACTTATAGCTGTTCAAATTCAAAATCTATTGTATCTTATATTATGAAGGAACAGTGACAGTTTCATCACTGGTGGCTGAACATCACCATTATAAATAAAAACATACATTTTAACTTGTGACAATATTTAACTATATGATTTGTACCCATATTATAAAGTGTTATCTTGTGCACAATGTTACCTAATTTTCACCATTGTAAGTGTGAACAATAATATAGAAATGGCTAGGGATGAATCACAGTGAAAATGTACAATTCATGGAAATAATGCAGTATTAAGTATAACAGTAGGTTCATGTACTAAATTGTTGAGTATTTTTTAAACCACAGAGCACTTTTGGCACATACACGATTATCAGAATGATCCCACTCTCACCAGTGTGTAAAGACTTCTGCTCTGTGTGCCTGGTCTGACATTCAGTTTGATTGATATGAGGCTGTGAGATGGGATAATCTCTCCTGTAATGTGTTAGCTTTACATTGGCAGTGTTCTTTGTTCTGTGAAGGGCCGCTCTTGTCTTTGTCCAGACAAGAGGGCTCTTGTGACAATGACCGTAAGAGAGAAAGCAAGAAGGTGGAGAGCAATGGAGAGCGGGTATGACAGATAGCAGTAAGCTCAGTTTATAGAAAGGGGTAAGAACTTTATTTATGTAGCACCTACCCCAATAACATGAGTTACAGACTAAATATCAGAAGATACATAGCACAAATTAATGGAATAATGATGAAATAAAATAAACAGATAGTGATAAATTCCACAAAAGCAAGTCTGTACACAGGGGTGAGGAGCTAATGAGACTGAATAGACACAAGAGAGGCTGAGTGCCCATGATGTCATTGACTGTGCTGGTCGGTACTCTCTCCCTCCTCCCTCCCCCTTTCCTCTCTCCTACTGCCTCTCTGTATCTCTCCATCTCTGTCGTCACTGTGAGAGAGTCTGGGAGTGGCAGGAAGGAGGAGAGGCAGAGGAGAAAGAGGAAGAAAGAGGAGGAGGAGGAGAAAGAAGAGGTTGAGCAGCTGAACACGAATCAGGATTTTCCTGAATATTTACAGAGCATCCTTCCATTTACGGCAGCAGGTACACTTTACTCTCTCTTTTTCAGCGACACCATGCCGTAGCACCTGCTATGACAAAGGAGCAATGGAAACAGCATCTGAAAACAAGCCTTAGGACTGGACATTGAACATTGCCATAACTAGATTGCTTATTCCATCCTCCATGTCCCCTTTTTTTTTTTATTTATGTGGACATTTTTAGATGCAACAGTACATTTTAGCATGCAATTTTCCTAAACAGATTCAATATTATTGTACATATATAATACATGTTGCCATACAGAAATGCAATCTACAATGTTATTTATATGTGCTATTTGTTTTTTGTCATGCACCTCCGTACATCATTACCTTTTAGTAAATATCAATTAAGTGATAGAGAAGTGTGTGTTGGTGTGCGCTTGTGTGTGTGAGAAAGAAAGAGATGGAGTAGAAGAGGAGAGGAGAAAGAGAAGAGGCATGTTAGTTCATTCACTGTAGATTGAACAGCAGAGCAGCCATTTGGCAACTGAGCTGATTAAATTAAATTGGTGCAAGAGCAGCCTGAGTAACACAAACATAATGATGGATGTGCAAGAGTCTATGTGTGTTTTTGTGTGCGTCCACTCAGACTGACCATGACAGCAGCCGTTTCTTGGCAGGCCAAACCTCAATCAGCTAATAGGGTCATTATGAATTAGTTTGAGTTCTTTCATTTCACAAAATGTACATCTATCAAATGAAGTGTGGTTTGGAAAGGCTTTTTCAGGGTTACAACAATGCAAAATTATCAGTTTGTGTCTGCATGTGAACCTGTGTCAACAAACTCTTGACTGTTTGCATACACACTAACCAGAAATGCATGTGTATCTGTCAGTATGGCTGAAGGCTCAGTGTCTGTAGCAGAGGTGGAGACCTCCTTCCAGAAGTTTGCAGTCCATGGAGACACTAAGGCCACAGGAAAGGAGATGAACGGCAAGAACTTTGTAAAGATCTGCAAAGACTGCCACATCATCGACGGCAAGAATGTCACCACTACGGATGTTGACATTGTTTTCAGCAAAGTCAAGTAAGATTTTTTTTCAGCCTCAATCTTCCACGGCTATGATATTCATAACGCAGCAACCCAGTCACAGTGTAACAAACGGCAAAGAAACACAGTAAACTCATTGTCAGCTGTTGCAGAGGACATCAATATTACCTGTACAAAACAATGGAGAGTCAGTATTCATTGTTTGCTTATTAAAACAAATTCATGCTTATCAGCAAATCTTTGCGTCCTAAGATTAGCTATTAGCACGAATTGTAGTACATAGCAAACTACAGCTTTATTGAGGCCATTACTTTTGATTGGTCATAAAAAAAAGGACAAATGACATTGCATTGACCCCATGATACTAGATGAAAATCTTATGATCAACAAAGTCATTTCGTCCTCTGGAAATTTCACAGGCAATTCATACAATATTGTGTTCACTAAAAACCCCAAATGCCAACCTCGTAGTGGTCCTAGGTAGGTAAGATTGATCCTCTTGGGAACATAAATGTCTGTACAGAATTTCATGGCAATGCATGTAATAGTTGTTGAGATATTTTGGTCTGAACACCGTGTGTTTCCTCAGGGCAAAGTCAGCTCGTGTCATCACATTTGAGCAATTCGACCAGGCCCTGACAGAGTTGGCTCCCAAACGTTTTAAAGGCAAAAGCAAAGAGGAGGCACTTCAGCAGCTCTATGGTCTCATTGTTGGTAAGGAGCCTACCAACTTGGGAGTCACTGTGAGTATTTTATCAGTTATAACTATAACACTCTGACCTTTCACTGCCCTCAAGCACGCAACATGTTATGTTAAGTTATAGTTCATAGTCCACTACCACAGGTGGTAAATTACTACTTTTACTCTTTAAAATGGATAAGATAATGCAGAGAATACTGGGTTAATAACATAGAGTGACTTCCATCTTGAGTGAAGTTAATAAAAATCTGTTAACATATCTTTTTGTTTTATTGACTAAATCTGGTCTTTGTCCCATGGCCATTGTTTAGCCCAAAATTGAAAATGTGACCATGGGGGTGTATTAGAGTCTACCACAATGTCATTACTGATCCTACCACTGGATGGTGCCAATTTTGTTTTAAATCCAACGCATTGTGGCTTTTAAAAGGACACTTTTTACAGTATAAATCATTTTTTTTTTTTTTACAGAGATAATTCATAGAAGTACTGGTAAAAATAAATAATTGAGTGATTATGAAGTAAGCAGAAGGGATGAAACACATGTGTTTCTGTATGTTGAAGTGAGCTTACTGCCTGTTTGCTATATCAGCACAATTTTCTCTGTAAATTTGATCTTCTGTTGTTTTTAGAAAGTGGCAAAGGCACCAGCAGTGGACAGACTGACCGATACCGCCAAATACACCGGAGCGCACAAGGAGCGGTTCGACGTGTCAGGCAAAGGAAAAGGAAAGGCCGGGCGCGAGGACATCCCAGACTCCAGTGGCTATGTGGCAGCTTACAAGGGCAGCGGCACTTACGAGGAAAAAGTAAAAGAAGCATAATTCTGCTGACAGATTATGAAAACTTTGTTTCACCAACAACTTTTTAACAATTAGGATTGTTAGAAAAAAATGACAAAAATTAATTGGCTCTTCTATTTTTGAAGGCAAAACACTATATACTGTATACTGTATATAATTAGCATTCACCACACTTTTAATTAAGAACAAACGAAAAAAAAACATGTAATTGGAGTTTCAAGGTTTTCATAAGTGACAACCAGGATAGGAATTAAAGAAAGAATTTCCTGAAAATAATCCAAAGATAACAAAAATACTTAGCTGCAGTAAGTATAGAATGTTCTATGGGTCGTATGAACAACTGATAGTAGCCAAGCATGTTTTAAAGAAACTCACTCTGCTTTGTAGTATAGCTTAACGCTGTGCCTCACCGATGTAGCCGCTAGCGTGAATGCTCTGATATACAGTAATGTGCTGCTACTCTCAGTTACCTTGATGCAATGGCTGATAATTTAGCTGGCTTTAAGAAATGACACATTAGACACTCCCTCACTTACTAAGCTTATCGTTTTATATTTCAGTGCCTTTTATTTATACATGACCAATCAGTGCCCATTATAATACTTTTTCAAATACAGTATGTAGAAAAATATAAAAAGCGGTGAAGAACACAATGATACTGTAGTGCTGAAGCTACAGTACAAGATACTCTCATTATCCATTATTTCTTCCTTACTAACAACATTATTTGCTTATAATGTATTCTTTCATGCTGTTTTATTTTGTCCCAGGTTGAACAAATTAAGAATTAAAGGCTGGAAAATGCATTTAAATAGAAGTGAATGTAAAGATTTAAATAGATGTCCGACAATGCACTGAAATAACAGTTTAACTTGGATATATATTATTATTTATAATACTTCATGTAATTTAAAATTTGTGAAAGTAACGTGTGTGATGTTGCAGTGTAGCATCATAGGAGAAGAAAAGTTTAATTATTTTTTGAGAAAAATTTGTAAGAGTTTACATTATAATCTTCTCAAAATCAACTTTTAGACCCTAACACTAGCTTTAACAGACACAGTGCTGTGTGGTATCTAAGCAGTTGTACAATTTAATCAGTGTGATACACAATGTACATACTTGTTTGTTGCAACCATGCTACCTATATAGACTTCTTTTTTTTTTTTAATGACAACAATCTGTCACACATTTTGCTTAATGAGAATATATAACATGGTAGGCCTACAAGAAAGACCTGAAAAAAATCTGTCTGGTGGATTTAATACAATGAAGGTTAAAGATAATAACCCTCATCTATGCCTTGCTGATTTCAAGAAATATCTGGGTTACAATTTCACAACAAAAAGAATCCTTGTAGAACAATAAACACTCATCCTCTTCCTGGACCCTCCTTGTAATGTGACACTGATGGTATTTATGGAACCATTATAACAGTGCTTATTGTATGGTGCACATGTTTTAAGATCACTTTCTTCACACTATAGACCTGAGCTGATAAGCATCATCTGGGTTTTGTGTGGATACTGTCATTGAATTTCATAATTCAAAGCCTGTATTCTCTGCATTGCCACGCTCAACTCTAATCACTGAGATCTTGTCATATAATGAATAAATAATCCAATAAATAATGCTGTAGTAGAACTCTTGTGGAGTAATCATTTTTGTCCCCCCCCATCTATTCAAATTCATTACTCTGAAGTGAAAATTTGGGTAACCTTTTAAATATTTGTTATTTACACATCCAGCATGTTTGGAGCAACATTATCAGTAATTTGGAGCCTGATCAATGTGATGTCTAGTATTCAAATATTAACTCTTCTGTGTATGGGAAGTATACACAAGTTAAGTTAAAAAAAACATTTTACTCTGATAAAAGGGTACAGTCTGTATTTTGTTTAATAATTAATGTTAATTTAGATAAGTAATTTCATTGAATAAGTGAACAAGTTAATTGATAAAAAAGTTCAGCTCATAATCATTCCTTTAATTCCTGTTGATTCTAGTATGATATTATGTAAAAAGCAACAATGTGAAAGCATGTTATTGTTTCTTTAAGAGAAATAGGGCTTTAATAGCTCATTTTGTGCTCATTAAGGTGAATTTTTTGTTTTTTGTTCAGTTGAGGCTCAAGCACGGTTTTCTTACCGTAGTACAGTTTGCTGATTAGGGGAGCTTCATTTTGAACACTCCTATAAGAAGATACTACAAAACTTAGTTTTTTTATCATTTTTTACATCAGAGTCTTGTGGAAGTGCATGTACACGAGTTAAGACAAGACAATCTGAGCTGCAACTCCCCTCAGTGTGTCTTGCTTTTTATCTCTGTTCATCGTTAACTGTGTCTATTATTTGGTGATGGACAGCCAGTTTGTAGAGAACAACTCCCTGATGAATGTGGAGATGATGCAGATAAAAGCGTTGAGAGTGAACCAAGACAGTAAAGTTGCCTGATTTAAACTAAGGCCTTCTTTGACCCAGTGTCATCAGTTTCAGGGACAGGTGCAGAGGGATAATGCAGCAGGCTTATCATAAACAACAAACTGAAAGATCCTATCAGCCAACCTGATACCTTTGACCTAATAACCAACACACAGGCTCTGTAAGATACAATCTTTAGGAGATTTTGATATACACTGGGGAGTTTATCAGGACAGTCGCTGCTGAAACATGCCATCACAGGTGAAATGAGCACAGGGTTGAAAGTGTGTATGGGAGGGGAATAAGTTAGTGAAATAGACCGTTCATAGATTGGAGGGTGTGAGCTGTCAGTTGAGTGGACACAGAGATCTCTCCACCCACTTGGAGATTAAAATGCCATGAAAGGGAACATCTCTTACAAACGGTCATCGTGTATACTACTGCAAGACCTCAAATTCTTCACAATTTGCATTTTTTAAAAATCTTTTATTGTTCATCACAATTACTGCTGGCTCAACTATATGATTTCAAGTGGATACATATTGAAGAGGAGATTCTTTGTTGGACTGCAGTGAGTCAAGACATTTTTTATTCAAATGAGACAAATACAAAGCCAAATGGAAATGTTCTTACAAGCCATTGTTGGAGCAGGTTTATGCAAGTTAATATTGTAACATTAAAACAACTGGATTTTAGTCTTTTTTTTCAGTTTGTTTGCATCATTTTGCAAATCTGGATACAGTTTGTCCAGTTTATTAAATTATTATTTATTTTAAATTTCTGGTATTCCCTAAATTGTAATCATTTCCACAGTAGAACATAATCCCAAAATAGTGTTCACCACTGTAATCAAACTAAACTTTATTAACAACTGAAACATGGTTGGTAAGAGCATTTTACTAGAGACAGGGAGACCATTGTTCTTTTTTTTTGAATGTGTGAAATATTTTTGTAAGTTAACCCCACTGTAGGTAGGAACAAACAATAAGATAAAACAAAAAATGAAAATAACTTTTTTTATTGACTTGAATTAAACATTTTTCATTCAGGACATCAAATTTCAGGTTACTCCTACATTGTCTTTGGCGTTATAAAATAAAATTGACTGTGAAGAAATACTTTCATCAGTGTTCATTCTGATGAAATACTCTGTCTGCAGATATGTCCTTGTGTTTTGAGATGAGAGTTACAACATGCTCTCTGTTCATCTTGGGCCTGCTGTGGGACAGTGTGAGAGCTGAAAATACTCTCAGCAGCCTACGAGCAACAGCAGGTAAACTAAACTGTTATTCAACTATTATTCAACTTCACATTGACAAAAACTATTTGGGGTTAACAAGGCATTTTGGTCAAGAAGATATGTTGTTGATAGGTGATAAAAATACTTGTTTAGATGTGAGCTGGCCAACCAATGGTTCAGACAAAGAAAAAAAGAGGATCATTATATTGTGTGTGGACTTTAATATTACATACAATTTCTCCAGTGAGAACTCTTTAAATCATAATGTGATGCAAAAATATTTGTCATTATTCTACCATCAAACTAACTCAAAACACGCATAAATCTCTTTCAAATTTGGAATATGAAATGTGTTGATCCAGCTCTATCCAATTTGTATTTTAACCAAATAAAAAACAGCAGCTGATTTCAAGGTCTGTAACGCTTCTTTCCTCTCCTTCGTTCCACATTTGCAGTAGCGTGGGAGGGGGAGCTGCCGTGCAGAAAGTGGGACTGTGAGTGTGCATTTAAGCGCCAGCGAGGCTGCTGCTGTGCTGCCCCTGAGCTCCAAGAAGTGGAGGATCAAATCTTTGTGAGGGTGATGAACCTGTTGACAGACATGTCCCAGCTGGATGACAGCATCCTCGAAGTCATAGGTATTCTGGAATATGCACACTGGTATAAATAGTCCACAGAATCAAGCAAAACTGGATGTTGAAACATCTACAATGCCAACTGATCAAACTCCATTTGGTGATTAAAAGCTCCAGAATAGCTTGACTCAAAGTGAGATTGTTCTGTCTTCTGCTGAAGACACATGAAGATAATAACATGAGTGTTTGTTTCCTTCCCTGTTCTTCTGTCTCAGGAGGGATAAGGGTTGCGTTTACAGCTTCCATGAGTCACAGAACAAACTGCTTTGGACCTTTCACCAGGAACAGCCCCATCCCGTATGATGTTATCACCCTAAACCATGGAAGTGGATATAACCCTGCTTTGGGTAAGTGATCAAAAGTGGTAATTTCAACACCAATCGTGATTCATGTGATGGCAGGACATTTTTCAGTATGGTTAGCAATTTTAACCACAAAGGAGCAGTGAAATAAGCTGCTTTATAACAATTAACTAACAGACATGTACAGCACAACTCATCTAGTACTTGACAGATTCAAGGAGAAGAGCTGCTTCATCACATAAATGCATTTTGTGCCGTTTACTGATTTACTTAACTGGAATTGTTTCTCTGTTTAACTTGAACTGACATTTGAAAACATGAAAGTGAAGAGATGGCTTGTACCAATTAAATAAATAAAATAATGTTATTTGTTCCAGGTATATTTACAGCCCCTCGTTCTGGACTGTACTCCTTCTCCTTCTCAGTCTACTCCAAGGTGGGCAAGGAAGGTGAGAGGATGTACTACAAGGTGCAACTCATGAGAAACGGGGAGGTGGTGGCATCCACATGGGAAGACAACAGAGAGGACTCAGAAGACAGCAGCTCTCAGACAGTATTGCTGTCACTGCAGCAGGGAGGCCAGGTCTATGTAGAGCTGCTGAATGGCAGACAGCTATGTGGGATTGCTGAGAGCCTAAACACCTTCTCTGGCTCCTTGATTTACTCCACAAGCAAATAAAGCCAAAATGACACATGAAGTTATAGATGAACATACACAACAATAGATTGAAACACGCTAATGCCTTACTTCTAACTGCACTGTATGGGAATTTTTAGAACTTTAATAAAAAATATGCAAACAAATGCTTGCATACTCTGAGATTTTTATATATATATATATTGCTTAAACAATGGTGAAAGTAGGGGGTGGTGTCTTAAATACAGAATGAGTGGCACCTTGTAAGATAGATCCGCAGTCCAGTGAGTCAACATCCCCAGTTTGACTCTGATCACCCTGATCGAGCCAGCTGGAGGGGGAGTTATAGAGTCTTATTGCAGCAGGCAGAACGGTCCCCTATAGCGCTCCTTAGTGCAACGTGGTTGTAATAGTGTGCTAAAGACGCTTCTCTGCTCTGCCAAAGTGTCATGTAGGGTATGGGAGGGGTTGTCCACAGTGTCCAGGGTGACACAGAAGAGACAAGCCCAAGGCCTTTTAGTCTACTAGAGGGGCTTTTCCATTGGCACTTTTGGCCATGCCAGGACAAACCATGCCACTCTAATATGCGTTTCTGAGCCAGTTTAAACATGTTGAGTTGTGCCAAGTTGGTAAGTACACCATGTGTTACATTATTCATATAGCCCCAAGCCAAATTGTCATACAGTAAGCCATAGCCTACCAGATACACCGTATGCCCTGATCTATTCTCCCAACCACGAGGAGCACAGTGATCAGGAGTCATAGCTGACAAATGTAGTCACCAGGAAGATCAGCACTATACTGTATGTAAAGCCCTTTTCTTGATCAAGTTGGATCCTTTTTCCTTCCCCTAGAGTGGGCTGTTTCAGGGCCCTGAGAACTAATAAGCAGCAGAAAGAGTAGACGATTATGACATTAACAAAAGAGGTTGTGTAAATGAAAATGTAAATGCCCACTGATATTGGATTTTCACCACACAAAAACAATTGGACTATAGCAATCAGAATGGTATGCAGCCAAATAACACAACAAAAGCTCATCCTGTACTTCCGGGGTTTATAGCTGAGGTACAGCACAGGGTGTACAGCGCTTTGGAATTTAATCCTGGCTGTGAATATCATGTTGTTGAGTTTAGGCATTATGTGTATGACTGCAGGGTTTAAATGAAAGCTTGCGGTCATTATTGGTGGCTGCAGGATTCCAAAAACTAAGACCAAGTGGAACTTGGACACTTCCATCCTGTCTGTCCAAAAGACAGGAGACGATATTATTGTCACAGCACCCAGCCATTAGCAGGCAGAGAGATCAGGATATAAGTCAGAATTGCTGTGAGGTTTTTTTCTCATGTGGTGAGGTTTTGCATGTTTCCTGGAAATAAGTGAAAAAACAGCAAAGTAGAGGAATGCATGTTCAACATTCAGACTCTTTATGTATGAGTACAACATCAGTAGAGTCCTTTAAATCTACTTATCATGGGGGAAAGTGTGAGACACTGTCACTGACCTTTCTCTTTTTATTTATTTGCCATTACCCAAAATCTGATGTTTAGAGTTTGTCTGTAAACTCAAAAAAGCAAACACAAACCCACACACTGTCCATAATAAATTCACAATTCACAACTGTATGAAAAACAAACAGTGATGAAAAAAGATGAGATCAGAAATGTAGAGTAAGTGATTCCCCTGGTAACAAATTCAAGAAAATGATGATAAATAAAGTCGTAAACGTAAACGTAATAGCACGAAGCAAATAATGCCGAGTGACAGAATGTTTCTGACATAGGGTGAAAAGAGGTGGGGCAGCTATAGGCAATATGAGAAAAAATAACATGTTTTTTGAGCATTAAAATAAATAAACCTCTTCTTGTAGTCTTTCTGTGTGTCTGTGGGGGGAATGTCAGTGTATGGGATCAAGGTAAAGACCACAATCTGGTGGTGCTTTTACAGCTGCCTAAAGCAGAGGTCAGTATTGACACCAGCACTGATGTATTTCATCATAGTGCAGTCATATAATTTAGTTTATAGCTCAAAAAACATGTTTCAGGGTGGAGTACCTTTTTAAGTATAGGTAGGTAAATAAAACATGGCACAGGAAATGAAAGCATACAACCAACATTATTGCTTGAAGCAGTTTAATTACTGGTATTCATTTAGCAATAGCAGGAATTTGTGCATTTTTTAAAAACAAATTCTAGCTAGAAATTGTACACAATACTTAATAATATTTTGCTGTGAAAAATGTGTAAGACATAAGCCTGCAATGATCAAACAAACACAAAGCATAAAGTTAGAGATTGTAGAAAATATTTAACTATTTATATCATCTAATTTATTCAGTTGTGAGTGGTTTAATGATGTCACTGGACTCTCATGAGATTCACAACTTTGCAATTCAGATTGCTCTTACCGCCTACACTCTTCAAGACATAGACAACTTCGCAATCTTCCAGACCTTGCATTTTGACTTCTGACTGATCAGTAATTTTCTCAGTTATGTTGAACATCTCATAAGGGGGGATGAGTACTTCTGCCTCGTGAGAAAACACTGAATAGTTTCCCAAAAAGGCACCTGAACATGTTTCAATTTTAAAGCAGGTCTTCTTACCGAAGTTGACCAAGTTTGTCTTGAGAGAGCTGGAGGCAAATTGACCAAAGCGAATAATTTGGTTCACTTCTCCAGTAAACTCAACTCTGGTTCGTCTGTAAACTGTTTGACAATAGTAGTTATTATTCGAGATCTGTATGGCAGATGTCAGCAGGAAATGTAAAGAGTGGAATTGGAATGAGGAGCCATAGTCTCCCCTTTTTGTTCGAACTTCCTCATTAAAGCTTTTGTACACCCTATCACTTGTATAAGCACAGATTGCTTCTATGTGATATCTGGTTAGAGCCTTAGCTTTTGAATTCTTTTCAATACATCGGTTTACATCTGTATCCATTTGCCAGGCAGCTCTTTCTTTTTGAAAATATTCTTTCGTGACCTTGTCCATCATTGTTTCAGTGCAGCCAAAGTTCATATCATCAACTGAATTTACAGCCATGTCCAATGCGATTGGGTTGGCAACTTGTGGAGTGGAACGGATCTAAAAGAGAAACAAAGAAAAAGATGAAGAAGAAGGTAATTAAACTAACACATATAATTGTGAAAAACATAGTGACAGTAATTTTTTCTGAACCCTCAAAAGTCCAAGTATCACTGCAACTATAATAGTTAAGCTAACGGTTGCAGTGTCACTGTTAGTTTAAGCAACAATCACACATTATTATATTTTAATTCTTAGAATAAAGAATATTATTAGAATATTACACTATAAAGTAACTCAATCAACTCAAACTTTTTGAGGAAACAATTGCCTCAAACCATTTACGTTCATTAACTCAAAAATGTTATAATATAAAATATTTGATTTGAGTACAAGTAACTCAATTATGTGTTAAGATAACTATGGTAAATTAATTGTACTAATTGCATTCAGTTTACTTGCTAGTTTTAAGATTCACTTAAAACTAGAAAGTATATTACACTCATATACAACATTTTATGGAGCCCCTAAAGGGACATGGGAAAAAAATAAATAAAAATGAAACGTTTCTAATGCGAGAAAGTATCTTGTGAGCACGAAACCTTAGATTAAGCACAGCCAGTTGTGCTTCCTGTGCTAATGTTATGTTATCTGTCTGACAGCTTGATTGACAGCCAGGTGGTAGCAACTAATCAACACATGGCTCATTTGAATATTAAAATTAGCCATGTGTTGATAGGTCACCACATGAAAATGTAACCAATGAAATTACTTATTTTGACAAAGCTTTTTTAGCCAATAAGTATTAAACTCCTTTTGAGAAAATAACAAAAAATGTCCACCTTTTGACACATTACCTTGTTAGTTTAATACTTATTGGCTAAAAATGTGTGTCAAAATAAGTAATTTCATTGGTTACATTTTCGTGTAGTGACCTATCAACACATGGCTAATTTTGATATTCAAATGAGCCAGAAAAGTTTCTTTTCTTTTTTTTCCCATGTCCTCTAGGGGCTCCTTAACATTTCTCCAAAAAATGTAAAACATGTTAACTGAATTTATCAGAATAAAATAACTTAAATTCATCTTCTTTATACAAATGTTACTACTTAAGTTGAATTTACTCAGTTTTCTTCCACTAAAGCAAATGTTGACATTACCTGTCAAAACAGCTGACATACAATAAAAACAATTTACGATTAATCAATTATCTGAGTAGTAGGCAGTTAATTTTCTGTGGATCATCTAATCTAATTCTAACTGCTTTAATTAAGTTGTTAGTAATAGCCTTTTTTTTTATGTGATAGTAAATCTTTACATTTTAAAAATTGATGCGGTCATATGGTGATTTATAAACCAATGAAAACATTGAAAAATCCTAGGCATTATAGCACAGCGGCGCATGCATTTTTGTAATGATATAAAGCTACCTTAAAGAAAATGAGTCAATGGAACAAACTGGAATTATATCACTAATACTGTACAAATGTGCTAAAACAACTGAGTTATGTCTTAGCTTTAATTCATGGGATTTGAGTGACTGCACAATTTTTTGAGAATTAAGTCATCTTAATTTACTTATTTTATGCTGTTAGGTTTAACAGTGTAGTAGGACCAAATGTAGGTTCCTTTTGATTATAACTGGTGCCTCAACCTGTTTAATCGCATTTAGAAGATTAATCAAAACAGATTTACTAATATTGAAAGTTAACAAACTGAAGATTCAATCAGGGTATCCTAGTATCTTAAACAAGATTTTAGTGTGTGCTTGGCCTTGGTCTCTAAAAATTAAAATGATTTGCTTCAAAATTATGTTTGAACAATTTTTCTAAGTAATTTTGTAAACATCCTTCACTGTTAACATTTGTGAAGGTTCGGGAATGTCCACTGATTCTCACATGATCCACTTACCGGCTTGGAGTTTACAGGCACCATACAGAAAAGGAGTAAACACAGTGAAGCAAAGATCATCATGTTTCCCTTCATCTCTGCAGTCGGGAAAACTGTTCCTGAATCAGAGTCAACAACAATGAACTGCTTCACACTGTGTACTAGTAACACAGATATAATAAGATATTGGCAAAGTATGTGGGCAGACAAGTGATTTTTTAAACCATTACTGTGCTTGTAAATGAGTGTGTATGCGTGAAATGTGTGTTTGTGTGCTGTGCATCCATGCACATTTATTCACAAGGTTGCATGCTTTCACCTGAGTTGGGGTGTATCTGATTAGTCAAAGAACTCTTTAGTCAGAACCAAACAAATGCCTGAAAACCCACAAGTAAGCCCAGCTACATTAAATGTTGGTTAGCAGTGTATTTCAGTGTTAAATCAGATACTTTTCAATATGTTTGAACAGAATAATAAAATTTCAGTATGTTATACAAATTCAAAAGTGACTGTGGTAGTAAGTTAGTATTATATCCAACCCTTTTTCATATATTTGGTTTAATGGAAATGCTGTCAAATAATAATGTCTGTGGTTCAAAAATGCTCTTCATGGCCATATACTGTACAGGAGGAGGACAACAATGTCTAATTTAAAAGCTGGTCTTGTCTTTAAGGTGATGGTGTTGTTGTATTGGGTTATAAGGTTCTGGACTCACAGCTTCCAGTCCCAAATTGAAATTTGGAACTTTACTTGATATTTATTAAAAAAATTCTGAGGCATAAGGCTTTTCTTCATGAATAATGGTCTGAAATCTCTCTGCACACAGTTCACAGCAGCTGAAACTTGTGAAACTGAACATGCAAGGACTGCATTTAGCAAGCAACCCAGCTCTCTGAGAAAGTTACAACTTATCTTATCCTAGCTTCATTGAAGCCATCACGTCTCTTGACCCCATCAAAACTAGTCTTACCCTTAATTGGCACTCAGTGCCGGCCCGTGGCATAGGCAGTATAGGCAAATGCTATTGGCGCCATCCATTTAGGGGGCGCCACAATGTGGGAAGAAAAGAAAAAAAAAAGGTGCAACTTTCGATATTTCTTTACTAAAACTAGTTGGTGCTATTATTTCTGAGTATGAAAAAAAATAAGCCCGCATAGCAAAGCCTATTAAATAATAATAAGACTTTATTAAGCCCCCCGCCCCCACCCCCCTCCTCCTCTACCTGCTCTCTGAGTGATGGTAAATTTTTCGACGTCACCCCAGAAACCATTAACATTGTCAAAACTACCAAAACTTTCCGGTGCCCAGGGAAGGAAAAAAAAAGAAAAGAAGAGGAGGAAAAACGCGACAAAGACAGAGTAAAGATAATGCCATGAAATGATTTGTCTGTTGCAGAACGATAGTAACCTTTAGTCTAACATGGTTTTCTAATCAATAAATAGCGTTAGCTCGTTTTAACGTCAGTTCATGTTATAGAGGGGCCTAACAGCTGTTATGGAAAAAAGTAGTACTCCCACCTTATATTGCTCAGGGACATTTGTAAAGATTACATCTATTCAGCAGGTGTTTACATTTGTCTACATTTTTATTATTATTTATTATTGGTTAGCTAACCTTTGCTCTGCTTGTAACAGTCAAATGCTATTCCTTTCACACACCTTTATATATTAGAGTTGTAAGCCTTGTTGTTTGTTGTGTTACAGTTCAATATTGGCTTAAGTGTGTCTATAGTGTTAAACTTTACATTCATGTTAAAGTGCACATCATTAATGTTAATACATTCCCATATGTTATATTAAACTGCAGTTTACTGCTTCTTTGTATTCTGCTAATCAGCATTTCACTGTAATGATCTGCATATCAGAAAAACATTCCACTGTACTGTATATCATTTATGTACAGTACAGTGAAAGTAATGCATCTCTTAGGTTTTTAATTTTTATCATATAATTTTATTCTTGGAATCATTTCTTTTATTATTAGACTGTAACACCCAACGGTGTCAGTTACTCCTTTTCTCTCTTCAGATGCGCTGTTGAAATATCTAAATCAACCTCCTGTAAATCCTGGGCCATCTACAGTCATCACCGCTTCAACAGCATCAAGTGATCCTCCTTTTTTTATCATTTGTTTACAGTTTTTATTTTTTAGGTAGTTAACTTGCATATTTTGTGTAGGCTATTTATATTACATTTCTTGTATTTCTTTTGATTGAGCAACTTGTTTCTCAAAAAATAAAAGAAAATGTCAAAGACAAAGCTATTCAGTTTCTCGCGTGAGTATATGTATGTATATAACTGGCAGTGGAATTTACTGCGATGCAAGGGGGGCGCCACCTTAAATCTTGCCTAGGGGCAAAATTGGTTAGGGCCGGGCCTGTTGGCACTTCTTTACTAGATATGATCAATCTTTCTTTATTGTCAGGATATGTACCATAGTCCTTGAAAGTAGCTGTAATTAAACCTCTTCTTAAAAAGCCCACTCTTGACCCAGGAGTTTTAGCCAACTATAGACCGATTTCTAACCTCCCCTTCCTCTCTAAGATTCTGGAGAAAGTAGTCGCCAAACAGTTGTGTGACTTTCTACATAACAATAGCTTATTTGAGGACTTTCAGTCAGGATTTAGAGTTCATCACAGCACAGAGACAGCTCTGGTTAAAGTTAATAATGACCTTTTAATTGCTTCCAAAAATTGACTTGTCTCTGTACTTGTATTATTAGATCTTAGTGCTGCATTTGACACATAATATTCCTTTTAGAGAGACTTGAGCATCAAATTGGCATTAAAGGGACTGCACTAAGATGGTTTAAGTTAAGTAAAAGTTTATATTTTTTAATATCATCTGCATTGAAATATTTCAATTCAATTGGGATTTCTATCTATTTTTGGTTTACATAGTAAGCTATTTCATTCCTCAGCCTTGTCATACAAACTGCTGTTTTACCAATTCACACTGTAAATATCAGGATCATTATTAATATTATTATCACAAGGTCTTAAACTTTTGAAGTTACAGTAATTTGTATTTCCCTTGAATAACCTTGATGAAATGAAACTCACCAGTTTGCTGTGCTCTTGTTTGCTTGTTAGAGTGTAGATCAGAAAGACGTGTGGACTCAGCAGGTGACTATCTGGTCTGATGGTCTGTGTGTCTCAGAGTTAAGAGCTGTACCTGCTTTTATATACCTGTACCATCAAAGACACATCCACTGATGCAGTGGTATGGTAATATTACTGACATATGATTGGGCTGTCTTTCCTGAGTAAAGCCCACACACATATAAGATAACCTATGTATGAATTGGCCTCATGGCTGCTACTGAATATTGAATCTGTGACAGTGTGTGGATGGATTCAGAATATATTTGTCATACTACATAAGACAATTACAGTTATTTATTTTTTACAAATACTAACAAGCTATTACTTAAGATTCTTTTTCTAACACAGCAACACACCTACATTACACAAAACCACTTTTTGTTCATTAAACAGCAACTCTAAAAACTGTAAAATGGTAAATGGACTGTACTTGTACAGTTCATTTCTAGTCTTTTGACCACTCAAAGCGCTTTTACACTACAGCCACATTCACCCTTTCACACACATTCACTCAGTGATGGGAGTCCATTGAACAGAAATTAACTCATTCATGCACATTCACACACTGATGGAGACGCAAGACTCTGATATCAACAGGTTTCTGGAATGAGCGAATATATTTTCAAGAAAGTGATTGATGACTAAAAAGGTTGAAAATGTGAAGAGATGGGAATAAAGGTATAATAAAGCTCAGTAATAAAAGCACTAGTTATAAAAACATAAAACACAATGCAAATTTACCAGCATATCACAGTTTCATTTGCATAACTGAATTTTAGTCTTCCACAGATTAAATAGTCTTCAGGAGAACAGTGGAGGAGTATCTCATTGGGTCCAGCTGTCTCCTCATCACTCCATAACCTTCTTGTATGAGATGTATTTTTCAAAAAGGCAAAAAATCCCCTACATAACCGGGTCCAACTACTCCTCTTCCTCTCTCCACCTCTCTGTGTTGTTCTTTATAGGTTTTCACTGTTCAGCTGTGGTTGGTCTATTTCACACAACTTCATTCAGCTGTGTCTCAATGTTTCAATGATCTGTTCTTTCATAAATGCTCATCAACTCTTTTGATAAAGCTTTTGAGCTGTTGAAGCTTTTTTCTATATTTAAGATTTTGAACATTAGGTTTAATTTGCTGTGTGCGAGCAATAACACAGGAAGATTCATCATTTTGGGTTAGGGTCATCTTGTATGTAATAAAAATGTGAACATCTTAGAAACACGTTCATTGATTGCATATTGTGTGAAAACAACATAAATTGTGTTCAAATGGTAACAGATGGATGTTAAATGTAAAGTTTTGAAAATGTGATTGGAATAAAGGTGAGTGATTATACAAACTGTAACAGGATGAAGGGTTCAATAACGTGTTGGATGATAAGACTGTTGAGCTCAGCATTAGCAGCACTAGTCATTAAAATACAAAAAATAATGCAAATTTCCTCATATCACATATCATTTCATTTCTAGTGCTTCTCCAGACAAGATAGAGGTCAGGAGAACAATGGAGGTGATGTACATGAGATGTGTACAACTGTGAATGTAAATATATTTCAGATATCTGCCAGGGGAGTTAAAGGGTGCAGGTGTTCTCCTCTCAGCTGCACACAGCTGGAAGTCATAAAAAGGCTGATGGCTGAGATCGAACAGGATGTGATGGCTGAAAAGTTTCTTAGAAAATCTGATTTTATTGCAATAAAAATTAAGTAATCAATATTTGACACAATAACTGCAACACACACAATAAAGAAAGTTAACACAACAAGACAACGTCCTGTCCATCCAGCAGGAGGAAGAGGAGGAGGAGGAAGGTCAGGGGTCAGCATGCAGAGCTGTCGCTCAGCCTACTGCGGCTGCAGACTTCCTTCCACCGGAGAACTTGATTGGACAAACTCTCAACATCCGCTACGTGAGCCAGTAACTGGGCGAGAGAGGCGTTCTGATACAGAGAGAGAGAGAGAGAGGGAGAGAGAGAGAGAGAGAGAGAGAGAGAGAGAGAGATGAGTTTACATCCATGCCTGTCCAGAAACAATATATATATATATATATATATATATATATATATATATATATATTTTTTTTTTTTTTTTAGGAATTAAAGGAATAAAATATATTTTTGGCTAAAAGAAAGAATCAGAATGGATAAGATGAACAGATGAAAGTCAGAACTAATTATTCTTTACTCATTGTATCGTCACAGTCGCCATGTGTGAAATCTGTAAAATCGTCCATTTCATTCTTAAATTATGGCGAGAAAGTGTCACAGTTTCTCTTTCTGTTCTTGAGTTAATAACGGGTGAATAAAAGTGTCTTTCCCAAGTACTTGGAGATTATTTTGTTGGAAGAATTTAATTAGATTATTTGTCATGCCCCAAATTAAGAACAAATACTTATATGTACCACAGCCATGTTGGAGAAAATGTGGTGATATAAATGTAGATAATTCTCATGTTTTTTGGCTTTGCCCTAAAATTATATCATTTTGGGAAGATGTTCACCTGGTTATCGTCACAATTCTGGGTTATGATATATCTAAGTTGTGTATATTACTATATTTTTTATATGATTGGCAATGTTGTGTTAAAAAAGGATAGATATTTGTTTGGTTATAAAAGTATAGGATGACTCTTCTATATGAAAGAGTATCTTACACCAGTATAGTGCCCACACATTCACAGTCTCTCTCTTTCACACTTCAATCACACTAATGACTGATGATGGAGGTGGATGTGGAACATGTCACTTTTCTCATGTCTCCATATGTGAAAAAAATCTTCTTTAAAGCTAGTCATGTATTTGTTAATTAACTCACTTTTAAATGAGGTAAATAAAAGTTTTTTTTTATTGAATTATCATTTTGAGCCTTGTCTTAATTGTATTGTTAAAAATGTGACGTAACAAAGGACTTTTTCTTGAGAATTGCACTTTATTCACTTCACTTTTTTATTTAGTGAGAAATTGTACAAAACAAACACATTTTACAAGGGTGAATTTGATTTATTCCTTTTTACACAGCTGAACCTATCCAGTAGCTGAAGATACTATGCAGAATTTTACATTTTACAAAAACCTATGGTGAGCTCATAAAATATGATGCACTACAGAGAATATAAGCTGTTTCTCCTCAGTCACGAGATGCAGGCATTAAACTAAAATAAACTAAAACAAAATAAAACTGCGAACCACCTCACAATGAGTTCTTGGTTATGATGGTCAATGGCTGTAGGTGTTAACATGTAAATGTGTGGGAATTTTTCTGAAGGTGCTGCAGTCAGAGGAGTCATTTATCTGGTGGAAACAACATTTGCTATATGAGAAGCCACCTACAAAACCATTTGCATCAGTATGTGGTCAACCTGACTCCATACGCCATATGACTAGTGTGATATTGCCCAATACAATAAATGACAATACTCACCCTCTATTTGCATGAAAAGCTGCATCCACCAGCTCTCTCTAGGGCAACATAGTTACTTTGTTAATATTCTTCTTCTTTTTCTTTTTTCACTTTCACCTTTGTTTAATGGTAAACTCTTCATTTAGGGAAGAAGTAGAGGGAAGAGAAAAATAATAGGCAGGTTGGGATATAAGGAAATGAGGGAAGGATGCAGTGATAAGGGAAGGAAGAAAGCAACTACGGAAATAAGAAATTGAGGAAAGGATGCAGAAGGAAAAAGAAGGTTATGGATAAAGAAGAGTTGAGAGGGTAAGGGATAGAAAAAGGAAGTTGGGAGGAAGTAGGAAGGGAGTGGGACAGCAACAGGTTGTCTATAATGTGACAAGGAGCTGACCTGACTGATAAAGCACAAATGAAACCCTTAACCTCAGTGCCAGGCTGCCACAATGCAAATACAGGGTTGAAGCTGCCACATGCATCAGGGCAGGTGAGGTCATGTGACCTGGTCTGCTTGACAGCAAGCATTTTATTCAGTTTTAACATATTTTAAAGATCCTTTTTGGTTTTAGTATGTGAGCAAACAAT